ATTATCTTCAACAAAGAATTCGGGGCACACCCAATTTTAACTGAAAGTTACTAGTTCAACCCTAAAATAACCTAATTTGTGAATAATACGGCATTAAATTTATCAATTAAAAACAACAAATCACTTTTTATTTGTTCTAGATGTTAGTTAATCAAGTCAAATTATTCTATATTGAATTGCCGATATAAAAAATTAAAGTAGTAAATAACAAAAGATTTGATTATGGAGAAAACCCTTAATTGGGTAAAAACTTCGGGACCAAACTAGTAGTTTCACTATAAATAATAAGAACTTAAAGCAGGATCAGTCTAGAAAACCCACTAGAGTCGCTGATCTAATTACTACAATCTTCAAAATTCGCTGGAACGTGCTTCACTTACACCTGTCCACGATCTTCTGAAATTGTCTATCTCCTATAAAAAAAAGAAAAAGAAAATCTCGTTCTTGCTCTTTTCCTCTACTTCTGGTCCTACCTCTCTCAATCTTCAGCAACCTCTAAAAGTTATTGAGAAAGTACATTTCTGATGATATGTAGAAAGTAGGTATTTTGGATTATAAGAATTCGATATTTTTCCCTAACTTGTGGTTGAATCAAAAGGTTAATCTATATTTTTGGATGTGTTATTGGATCTTGAAATGATGTTATGAAGATATAAAGCAATGATCAACCCCCTAAAAAACGTACTGGGTATTTATATTAGGAGGAGTTTAGGTAGTATATGATAGATAAACTCTTGAAAAACACAAACTAGGGTTTATTGGACAACACTGTTGCTCGAGCATCACGCTAGCGATAGGCAAGCGAGAGATGCATAGTTCGAGAGAGTCGAGCGACAATGATTCTGCTTTGGATGTTCGAGCATCAGCTGGGCAACATGCTAACGTAAATTGACGACTCATTCTTCTTGTTACATACTTGAATCCAAAAACTCATAATTCATCTATACAACCCTCCTAAAAACTCTTTGACTTTTACCACTCTTTTGTAACAGTTATATTCTTTTACAATAATCATTTTGTCTAAAAAATTGTCAATACAACTAAAAAAACTAACAATCTCCCCATTTGGCATTCTGTTACAAAATTATACAATACAAGTCAATGATGTAAAAACAATACTAATCTACCCAAACTCAAGCTGAATGTTTGTCTCTTGTATTTCTTGAAACCCGTTACTTGAAATCAATAACTCAAATATCACATGATATAGGAAATATAATAATTGAAACAAACTATCACGTGTTAGCTAGATTGAGAAGCAATACTAATATTAATCAATACCAACTAAAACATTAATATCACAATACATCAAAACTAAAAAAAGCTAAGCAAAACAAATCATCTCCCGCTTATTACAAAATAAACTAAAATTTAAATGGCTAAGCAAAACAAATCTCTCACCATCTCTCCCCATTTTATCACAAGTGACGAAGGTAACTATAACAACAATATATAATAACTCAAAGATGCAGTTGATAGCATGCACAAGCATAATCAATGATCAATAAACTTTCGCACATACTCAGTTCAAGTATAAATGAAGTAAATTGTATAAGTGACTCGTGTGTTAAATGCCACTAATTCCTTGTGATCAATACTTAAAACCTTAACTTTGTGAAAAATGACATGCTAAACATTACTATTAAATAAGTTTATTGTTCTACTAATGAAAGTCAGACCAATAATGCATATTAGGACTTATACATAAAGCTCATTTTTTATGTATATTATTATTTTCTCCTCCTTAATTTGATCATATATACATTTTCACACAATTTATATTTTTCTTTTTAAACTTATCATTTTTCTCTTCAATTTTTTACATTATATGTTAAGACTCGTCTCCATTAAGCGATTAAGATGATCCATGTAATGAGTTTTGGGTCAATGACTCCAAGTCAATTGACCATAGGACATCAGTTATGAAAAACCCCACGGGCTTAATTGCTCAAGTCAAATAGGTTTTGAAGAGGAGTATACGATGAAACATTTTTTTTATTCAAGGGGATATACTCCAGCTCAGGTCTACTAAATTAAGGTCAATCCATATTTAAGATCACCTTATCAACAGATGACGATCATCTCAAATCTTACACACGCGTTGTGGTGGCAACTGTGCTGAGCAGCTCGTCGGCTCGGCAAAAGCGAGCCCAAGCACAAGCCGAGCAGGCCGGCTCACTAGACGAGCTGCTCGGCGAGAAAATAAAATAAAATACAATAATAAATCATAATAAAGGGACCGAAATGGTCACCTGCCACCAAATTTTCAGTTTATTTTAACTTTTAGGAAAGAAGATCAGAATATGGGAAGAAAAAACTCTTTTTCCTCGTTTCTTGCCTTATTAGTATGAAATATTGCAAGAAATGGGGCTGAACGTGGAAATAATTAGCTCCACTTTCAGTTTCATCTTTTTCATTGTTTTTCATTTTATTCTTTAATTTTTTATATGGTGAGTGAGAGTGCCTTAGTGGGGATTTTAATATATTTTTTTTTTGCAGGGTTACTTAGGTAATGAAAAAAAAAAATTAATAATTAATAATTGAATCGATGACAAAACCAAATTCAAAAATTTGCCCTGTTCGATATCCATTTTTTTTAAAATACATTTTTTTTCTCTTCTTCTTAATAATACATTTTTCAATAAAATAATATTACTGGCTAACCTAAAATTTTTCCTTATTTTTTAGCAGTGTAATATTCATTAATCTATTATTCCAAAATACATTCTTATTATAAAAATGGGAAACAAACAAGTTTACGCATTAAAATATCGTATTGAATTATACTTTTATCTAATAATTTAAACTTTTAAGGATGAAAGATTTTATTAATATTTGTGTTTAAATTATCATTAGTTGTTATCATGTTGATTTTGACTCTTAAATACAACTTGAGACGGACAACGATGGTTGATCATGAAAATTCCT